GGACAGACAGACAGAGAGATGGACAGACAGACAGAGAGATGGAGATGAACGAGCATGCAGGCACACAGACAGATCGACAGACCAACAGATCGACAACAGATAGACAAACAGACAGTGAGAGAGAAGGGGGGTGAAGGAGGGGAGGGAAGAGGAAGGAGAGGGACAAATGAACAGACTGACAGACGGACAAACAGACAGACAGACAGCATAGTGAAGTACTTGATGAGAGGTGCATCAGTAGCTGATTGAAGCTGTTATTACCTGGGCTTGCTCAAATGTGACGAGCCCTTCGCACTTGCCTGTAGAGTACTCGTTGAGTGCCCGCTTGTTTGCTGCTGTGGGAATCGGGAGGACCTTCAACTTCGGCTTCACTTTAAGGTTGAGCATAACCTTCACAGGCAGACAACATGTGTGAAAGGTAGAATGAGTCACCTTCTCTCTTTTTCCCCCCTTACTTTTCCAAAGGGGGAAGCCCCCCTTTGCCTTCTTTGTGTTTCAGAGGGCTTGAACTCTTGATCGCCTTATCAACACTTATGTGTGTGTGTACCATTCAGCCAACCAGCAGTCAGATACAGAGATAAATCACCTTCATGCGGAACGAAAGAGAACGACGACGACGACGATGATGGAACCGCTAAAGCACAAGTACACGCGGGGCTGCAGGCACCTTACTGCGTGCCAAGCTTTTCCGAGCCGCCAGCGGTGCACTCTTTTTCTTTTTCTGTTTGGCTGGCGGGGTGCCGCCAGCCATTGTGGGGGTCCAGTGGGCCAAGCCTCCGATATTTTCGTAGGCGGCGAGTTTCATTTTCAGCAAGGCCCGTCATCCGCCCGTCGTGAGGTTGGGCCAGTCAACGAGGGGCTGTGTACCGGCGGTCTAACCTTTGCACACAGACTTGACAATGCCCTCAGAGGGCACACAGACTCTTTACGGAACGTTCACGTAAATTTCATCTCAAGCGCCTTCGCATACTCTACTTGTTCACCTGTGTCAGTTTGGGGTACGATTAAAGCAATACTACACAATTGATTCTAGAAGTTTTCCCCGGAAATTGAGGCCCTGTCCAATCATCCAATTTTTTTTTTGGCAAGTTATAACCCCTCCACGAGTCCATGACAAATTCCAAGGATTGTTTCATCTCACCGAGTTCCCACAATGAAAGAGGAAAAAGGTTATGGCCTGGCACAAACCAGAAAAAAGTTTAGCGCCCGCCACCAGACATTCGACACTCCACTTGAGCATGAGACAGGTATTCAAACGTTATGGGGGGGGAAGGCGGCAACACCACGAGACAGATGTTACCCTCTTCCCCCCGACCCACCCTCTTCCCCTCCCCCCCCCCTCACCTTTTCCCCCACCCTCTTGACAAGGAGGCTGGAGACAGATAGAGAGGAGGGGGGAGGGAGAAAGAGACAGAGGGCCGGGGGGGAGAGGGGGGGGGGAGGGACGGGCATAGTAATGGCGGGGGGGAGGGACGGGCATAGCAATGGCAGACAGGATACGAGCAATTCCAAGAGGGGGACACAACGAGAGAAAGGGAGAGGGGAAGAGAGATGGAGGCGGGAGGGGAAGGGGGGGGGGGGGGAACAAACCATGACCCTACCTTGAACTCTCTGTTAACAACGCAGACACCAATCACCTCCCGCACTGGCCCCTCACTGACGCAGACATCGCAATCTAGGGACAGTAAGTCCTCCGTTGCTGGGAAATCCTTGCTCGCACCACGGCTTGTGATTACCCACCCCTGTATCCACACCAAAGCAACATAGATCAGAAGCAACATTGTGACATTGTTTCTCCAAACCAAGATAGACGGGAACCAACATCATCACATTGCCTTCCATATACCTCGCCCATCCTCTCTCTCTCTCTCTCTCTCTCTCTCTCTCTCTCTCTCTCTCTCTCTCTCTCTGTGTGTGTGTGTGTGTGTGTGTGTGTGTGTGGGTGGGGGGGGGGGGGGGGGGGGGGGGGGTCACAGCCCCTCACTTTTCGTCGCTTTCTCCCTCTCCTCGTATGGTTTACCAGGCAGTTCTGTTTGACAATATATATATAATATTATATATAGTCATGCACACACACACAAACAACACACGCATACAAAATATGAACACGCTCATAAGTCAAAGGGCATACTTGAAAGTTGACACTACGCCTTTTTGGTCTGAATCTGATCGCCATCACAACCATATTCAGAAAGGAAACTTCGACTCTGAGTATGCTGGCACCAAATGTTGGTTTAAATCTTCTCTCTCTATTCAAAGGGAGGTGGAAGCGGGGCCGAAGATGGAAATCAGAGCAAATGGGGAAAAGAGAAAAGTCACCTCTTTGAAAGATGGAAGGTGAAAATGGTTGTAGAACAACGGATGCGATCTTGTTCGATGGACGAGATCCTGCAACATCAACCAAGAATGGGATTTAAATCAACCAAAAAAACAAAAAAACAAAAAAACAGCAAATTCAGTGTGCATTTTTGGTCAGATGCGGAGGGTGGAATACAGATACACACATTTCGTGACCTACAGCATCACGTCCCAAAAGCCTTGGCACATTTCACAAGTACAGAAGTAATAAAAGCATCATATTCCAATTTGTCCCACAACGAGTCAATCGACTTACACCGTGACGGTTCTGTGGAGGCATGCAGTCCATGCAAACGCTAGACCCTCGAAGAAAAAAAAAACAAATTGAAAAAAAAAAAACGTTGCAATTTTTTAATTAATTCATGGATTGATTGATTAACTGATCGATTGATCAATGCATCACTTGATCGTCTGACTGACTGATTGAACTAATTGATTGATCAGCTGATCGACGGACTGTTCGATGAGTGATTGCTGGATTGATCGATGAATCCATTGATAGATGGCGGATTTATTGACGACTGATTTCATTCACTGGCCAAATCTGCGATGAATCCATTGATAGATGGCGGATTTATTGATCGAAGGAACGGAGGGTGATCACATGTCAAGTGGTAGGCAGAAGGAGCAGAAGAGTTCAAATCTCCCAATGCACGTGAGAAATCAGTGGCCAGGCTTTGCCACATCAGAAGCATTACACAGGTCCTATTTGTATCTCCCCGGCACAAACTCTTTTTACCACATCAAAAATCACCCACTTGGATCAAGCCCAGCAATGGAAAAAACGATCATCGATCTGCTGCTTCTAAGTCCAAGCCCACCTCCCGGTTGTAATTGCTCGAGAGCACTTTTCTAAGTTTTCTAGATCCTTCCCAACTACGCAACAAGCCACTGTGAAATATCATCCCTGATCAATGAGCCTCACCGGGCTCAACCGATCGCCTTTTAAATCAGTCCGTGCCCTTGTCTTTCATTCAGCATGCTTATTGGTGTTTTTTCCCCTCCTATTTTTTCGAGGGCCCTTATCTTTCATTTGGCGGCCAACACGAAACATGAGGGCCCCAGATGGTTTACAAGCATCGACAGTCATCCATCAGCAATGGCCTGCCACCAGAGCCATCAGTTTGGCCACAGACTCTCTCTCTCTCTCTCTCTCTCTCTCTCTCTCTCTCTCTCTCTCTCTCTCTCTCTCTCTCTCTCTCTCTCTCTCTCT